TATATATATATGCAAACTCAATTGCCTGTGCTCGGGTTTAACGGGGCAAGGAAAGGCCCAAACTTGGATACAGCGTGAGAGATCGAGCGAGCTCAAGCTGTTGGGAAGGGGTTTGAGGAGTAGGGGGCTGTAGGCGGGATCTAAACAGGCAGTCAGTAGTCAGCGGTGCGGCGTTGTGATTGGCCAGTCCAGTGATGAGGGAGGTGGGGCAGGCGGCAGTAGTTAAAGTGCCCAGCGCAATCTTAAAATTGTCCCACAATTTTAAGATTACGCACGCAATTATGTGATCGTAAAACGTGAAGCGCAATCTCGGTAAATTGCGCGGAACACTTACACAGATATCATGTATGCACATAATAAAATGCAGATCTATATTTACTAAAATGATAACAGAGTAGATCTTTCAAGCAAAATATTGCATATTATACTCTTTCTTACTATAAGGAAAAAATTGAGACTCACGTCACTTTCAAAAGCGCCTTAATAACAAATATAACAAATTACAGTGGAATTCAGGAATGAAAAAAAAGTGTTGACTTTGAGCAAGGTTGACTTTATCCCTTGTACTGCTCGCCATCGAAAATTGAAGATGACAGCTACAAAATTACAAAATACCTGGTGGCAAGATGTTAGCTCAATTTCAGTGAGTATAATTCTGAAGTTGTCACCAAAAGATGAGATAATGAGCGAACAAAGTAATTGGAATTAGAGGTGTGTACCCCAGTAGCTCAGGACCTAAATATCTCTTCTTAAACGAATTAATATTGGGATTTAACCCCAAATTGTTGACTTTAACTTTACGCAAGGTTAACACTCAAGCGGTTGACTGTACATGTATCAGAAGCACAAACAAAGAAGGTAAGAATTTAAACGGGACCACAATGAGGTGTTGACTGTAAACAAGGTTGACTTTATCAGGATTCCACTGTCTGTTATTACTGATCATCATGCTTTAAAAAAAAGTAAAATTAGTTATCATCAACAAAGGCAGAGGTCATCATTATGTCAAAAATATTTTTTAAAACGGGCATCTGCTGAGCTGTCTTCCAAATATGGGTCCTGTTCCAACTTCCTGCTCTGTCTCCTCTTCTTCCCCCACCTCCGTTTCTTCCAGTGTAAAGCCCCGTGCCTCTTCGATGCTGCAATACATGTACATGTACTTGGAAAATATTTTCCATATAATCCCTTGTGGCCTCTGCACACCATGCAGCCTTTCTTGACCAAGGCCACCATTTTTCCCCCTTATTTTTTCACCTCACAAAACTGTAATATTATATTGGTTTAAGACCCCCCCCCCCCCCCCCCCCCCAATTCCAGTTTGTTAAAGGGGCCCAGAAACCCCCCCCCCCCCCCCTCTCTCCGGTAAAGAGATACCTCTATAAGAACCTCCCCCCAAGCCTAAAAGCAAAATAAAAAGTAAAAGAAGAGGAGAACGTGTAGTGTGTGATTCCTGATTGGCCAGTTCCTTAATAACAAATAATTAATAATCTTAATTGGAAGGCTACACCAAGGGACTTAATCTGTAATGCAAGCAAGCATTCTGTAATCACACCAGTCACTTCCCCTTTTTTAGGAATTCAACAGAGATAAAATTTGGGGTAGGCCTATCTTTTAGTATTCCACGCCAACAAGTCGTCGCCTCAGAACTATTTTGCCCAAAGTGTACTTAAGTAAAGAGGCACTTGGGACAAAATAGTTCTCTGGCAAAAAGGGTTCTCGAAGCTGTAGCTGATTGGTATCTGTGGTGTAGCGATTAGGCTTCCTCGTCACAAGCAGAAGTGAGTTTGATTCCTGTGTTAGGAGTTTTAAAAAAAATTAAAAAATTTAGTATCTCCCTTTGTGCACTGTGACATTGTATACCCCTCAGTCCATGTTGGCCATGAAAAGGCAGGGTGAAAGCCATCCACCTCTTAAAAGATGTAACTGGTGTCGCAAGCGTTAAGTAAAACCATCTATGATCACATCTTGTTGTACTGCTTTCATTGTTTGAGTTTATTTGAGTAAAAAGAAGCACATTGACATAATAATGGTCATATCACAGCTGGCAAAAAGGAACACAGGGAGACACTGAAACAGAAAAAAAAGGGAAAGTAAAGAAGAGGGACCTATACAATTATACAACCTCCAACTACTGCTGTCAGAGGCCTATTGTGGTAGGTGTAGCACAGGCCCTGCGCCTCTCGATATATATAGAACGCAAATGAAGATTCTCCTTTTCGGTTACAGATGTTCTTCCAATGGCAAATGGGAAGCCACACAGTGAGAAAAAAAAAAGGCATTCAAATTGTGTCTAGATCTATGATGGCATGAAACAATTTCAATTACATTATCATTATATTTCACAGCTGCTCACTTGAAAAAATATTTCTGTTTACTCTGTTTTCAGGGCTGATGAAGTCAAAGTTTCTGTCTTTTATGTTAGTTTTGAGACAATCCTAGCTTTAATTTTGGTCATACCAAAAGTGTTCTTATTCAACCCAATGAAAATAGAGTAACTCAAGACATTTTGTTTCATTGGCTACCTTTTACCTTAGACTTTCAAGCTTCCCGACTGTCCACGGAGATCTCATGCGGAGGAATAAAAAATGACCGACTCTTGAAATCATGATGAGAGCTCACACTGTAGCCTACATGTTATAATATAAGTATGGAGTTGAAAGCACTGAAATGTCATCATATTGGACCAGACGTGTGGCACTATTATTATTTAGTAGTTTTTTTTCTGCCTTCATACGAACCTGTGGCTAGTTACCACTGTACACCCTTTGTATTATTTTCATCTTCACAACAAGCTGAGTTGCGACTGTTTGTTTGAGATTTTGAGAAAATTTACTTTTTTACAAATTGATTCATATAATTAATAGATCTAGGCCAAAAAGTTTTTCAAGTTATAACAAGTTCAGTTCTTGGGGAAAGCCCCATATCTTCCTGGGTTGACTCAAATGGAATTTTGAATGTTAAACTGTGGTATCAGTAGTCTAGCGGTTAGGTAACCGGACTTGTAATCATGAGGTTGTGAGTTCGGGGGTTCAAGCCCCAGGCCCGACGTTGTATCCATGGGAAATTAGGCACTTTACACGAATTTTTCTCACTTCACCTAGGTGGGAATGGCCATAGACAGATCTTGTCAATATGTTAGGGTTTTAAGGCCTATAAATGGCAGTTTGCACTGTGTGCTTCCTAGGAAGTTAGGACTGTTTCAGAATGCTATCAGGTCTGCAGGGGTAATAGTATAGATTGTAAGATGAAAAGAGCTTGCTGCTGAGTAAAGATTTGCACTATACAAATGCTATCTTAACTATCTCTATTATCATAATTATTTACTATTACTAGACATAAAACACATTATACATGTAATTATAATAAAATGTTGGGTAATTCTAAGTACAAATCACCAGGTCAACCATCAGGACTAAGGATAAGATACTTTATTGCTCCTCCACTGGACAAAACTAACACAAATAACAACAGCGTACTCTGTCCAGTGTCTGTGGCACTTCTAGTTATACAGTACATGTAGTAATTTTGTTTTAGTTTTAGTAGCGTGTTTACAGCGCTCGCAACTGCCTAAGGTCATATGAGCGCCAAGGAGTGGATGTCAACAGAGAAGTTCATTAAAGGGAATCAGGCTTACTCTGATCACCTCTCTAGCTTCAACAGCACAAAGTCTGCTTCGACTATCAAGGCACCCAAGAAACAGCAGGTCACAAGAGTGTGATAAACTCAAACATACCAAAAAAGTACAGAAAAAATGATGATTAATGATTAGGAAAGAAAAAGCAGAAGTTCCCCGTTGCAGTTCAGGCACAGTTATGAGCATGACATTGATCATTAACAATTCTTCTGTGCATAAGAACATGTTAGTATCCGCGCTTTGGAAATGGCCTAAAGATACTTCAGTCAGTAGCACTGCTCCACGGGGTCTTAAAGTAACTTATACGTATAACAACAGGGTAACATCGACACATCGCAATCTCTTTCTTTATAGACAACTATTATAACAGGTCCGGTAATAACAAGGACTTTTTTAATCCGTTTTTTTCCTACTCTTCGTCTCTATTAAAAGTTATCGGCAATAAGTTAACAGGGCCTCATCGGAGCCCAATCGGTTATAGCAGGGACAAAGGCTCGTTAACAATGTGTTAAAAAAAAAAAAAAAAAAAAAAAAAAAAGAGAAAGAGAGAGAGAGAGAGAGAGAGAGAGAGAGAAAGGCGGGGATGGAGCAAGCCCACGACAGCCACGCCAGTGCAAGCACACACAGCAGGTGAAGCAAGAGAGGGCTGCGGTGTGCTGCACACTTCGATCTAGCCCTAAGCCTCTACACGCATGAGTAATGTGACATGTGCAGGCTTGCCACAATGCCGAAACCCCTGTTTTCTTGGGTACTTGTGGCAAGGGAAACTACCCATGAATAAATGCAGCTGGATTAATCCACAAATTTCAGATTTAACAGGGATCTGATATTACAGGACTTTTCCTCTCGTCTCACCATCCCTGTTTTATCAGGTTTCCACTGTAGCTTTCAGGAGAATTTTCAGAGATCGTAAACAGTAGAGTCCAAATAAATTGAAATCTGCAGGGCTGCTGGATTTTCTTCAGTCGCCATCAGTTATGAGAGATTGCTCAAATAGTGAAGAAAAAAAATGAGGGATTCTATTTTCTTTCAGTTTCCCACTGTTTTCAGATAAACTGTGCTCAGTTTAACTCTTTATCCCCGAGAGGAGTAAACCCACTATGCTGGGGGCCATTTTTCTGTGCTTAATCTAAAAATGACAAAAATGAAATTAAATTGGTAATTAAATCAAAACAAGTGAACTTATTTTGATAGTTCTTCTTAATGAATAAAATCCTGATAAAAGAGACCTGTAATCAGCAATTGCCGAAAAGTAATTTCATGTCAAAGTCGCCATTAAGGAATGTGCCCAAGCTGCTGGCAGCGGCTCACTGGCACAGTGGTTCCGACCTCGAGCCGCTAGGAGCGGCTTGCCGGAGATAAAGAGGTAAGCGGACTCCACTGTAGGCGCTACAGATTATTTAATTTTTTTAAAAGCATAGGATGGCAAAAAAAAAGAAAAAAAACAACATTTCATGCTATTGGCTATATGGAGCTATCGATGGGAGAAAAATGAATTTCTACGTCAAATGCAATTTTGAATAAAGCCATATTTGCCAATGTTTGTCAATAATTAATTTGGAATTTATACACTAATATATTTACATTAAGTAGAATTGCGTAGTCTTCATAAAACACTTGTACATATCCCACAATAACATCCATGGATCAAGGATCGGAAAGCCCACTGGTTCTGGTGATACACTTTCATACATGTACAGTAGTCTCCGCCTAAACGCAAGGTACTCGGGAGGGCTCCTTAGCGTGAGTTTATACGGAGCGTGTGTTTACATGAACCTTTGCAAAGGGAGGAAGGGACGCAGTCATCTCATTGCCTTGATATTCTAGTGACCTCCCTAGGGGTGGGGGTCACTTTGGACCGATAATGTGATGACACGTGACTGTTTTGTAAAAGATTTCCCGACTGCGGTTAAGACTGCAAAGGCGTTGAATGGGTGTGTGTGTGTGGGGGGGGGGGGGGGGGGGGGCAGAAAGACAGACTCGATGACTCGATGTAATTGTTGCTGATAGTAATAGAGACAACGGCCCAGCCACGTTGCTTTCCAAGCGACCACCCCCGACCGTAAATTCATGAACAAGCATTAACGCGTGTTGCGCATCATAGGCTTAGGTCTAACTAAACATTAGCCTACATGCAGTCACTCAAACACCAGTCAGAAACCTTCTCTCAAAGAGATGCATTTCCAGTGACCAATCAAATACCGTTTCAGTCCCCCAACCCCCCAACATATCACCAACCAGTCCTAGACCTATTTGTCTGAAAAGTTGTGTGTGAAAACGCTGTCCATCACTCTCTTTGTTCGGCGTAAGGGGCAGTCTAGCAAAATATCCGGTTTTCTAGGCTTGTCTTAAGCAAGCTATGCAGATCGTACAGTAGTCGCAGTGAAATTTCCCTTAGTCAAGCTTTACCTGTCAGCGTGTTTCGCAGATTGGAGCGTGCGTTTAGGGGGAGTGACCGTGCGTTTGTACGTCTAAATTATATAGTAAAAAAAACGTCATTAAAGCGTGCGCTTGAGCGGAGCGTGCTTTTGTATGACGTGCGTTTAGGCGGAGACCACTGTAACAACTCATCTGTAAACCGTCTATATTTTCCTGAGTAAAAGCACTGCACATAATAATACTGAGCTCTGAGCACAGAATTTACCACTAAGAAAAAGAATTCCCCCCCCTCCAAGAAAAGTAAAATATATTCAAACATACATCAAAATACCACAAATAAAAATTCTTTTAAAAACTACCAGTAAATTAAACATCTAGATCTAAACTCATCATAGGAATCAAAATCTAACAAAACCTAAAGGTTTCAATCTATTCATACATCATGTATAGAATGGAGCTCTTGGTTCGGTTTCAAAAATTTGAATTGGTGAATAAAAGAGCTTAAATTGAATGGCAATGTTTCCAGTACTGGTATACAAATATAGTGGTCAAATAATTTGAGCTTGAGTACAGGAATGCAGAAAGAAAAACTTAGGAAACAAAAGTTCCTTTTAAATATCTCAGGTATGACATATAATTGTAATATATTGCACATCACGTCTACTTGCATCTTCCAGACTTTGCTGTTGTCACAGTTCCATAAAACAGCAGGTTTACACATCTTGCCTTGTTCAGCAAAACAAAAAAATGCTATGGACATACATTGGCGGGGTTTGATTAGGCGTGAAATTCATTCGCTACTATTTGTTTCAAGGGTGAGTTTGACACGTACGGGCCAGTTTCTCTGATAAGAAAAGACCATTGGAGATAGTCCTCAGAACTTGCTTGACTTACTACACACATCCAAGATCTCCACTCTCTGTAGGGCCAAACACGGGTAATCATGACCCCATGCACAATAGGCGTTTTTACCTTATTTAAAGAATGGGGCTCACACTGATTTTTACCACTTATTAAGAACATTATAAGCGTCCACCTCTCATCCATTGTGAGAAACCTTCGAGGTTTTGTTGGCCATATACTCCCTCCATTCACACAGCTCAGAGAACAGACAGAAGGAACATTTCCAGCAGTCCTCAATGTCAACTCCCTCTGTTCCACGCTCCCCTCGCCACCACTTGACATGGTGAGAGAATGACATCTCCAGTGATTCAGCATCGAGATCAAAGTCGGTCAGCGAGATTTGCTTTTTACTTTCTTGATGAACATATTCTAAACTGGCCTGAGATATACAAGCCAAAGACTGCACCTGAGGAGAAGAAAATGATATTTTTCATGTACATATAGCACCAATGATTAACAGTATTGAGATGTACTGCATAAAGTAAGGGATTGTTAAAGATTGTACATCCTCAGTGAAGTACAGACACAGATTTTGCTGCCCCATAAATGAGCAACGTTTTTGATAACTTTCATACAAGTTCTTTTACTAGCCCCTGTCCATATTTTCACTGTTTCTGCCTTGTATAGCTCTATTTCTCTTCGGACTCCAGATTATTACATACATCAGTAATCCAAGTTCACCACTCTTTCATTTTCTTGGATGCTAGAGACAAAATAATTTATTCTTCATTTTATTTCTATAATCAGTGCTGCCATAAGAGATTCATTTTCACAAGAGATTTATGGTAATGTGGTGAACCTTTCTTAAACAAAACGAAGCAGTTTAAACCTAAGGAGACCGAAAGAAAAGTACACATTAAAAAACGGAATGGCTACTCGCCCGATGTCGGGTGGCTAGCGTCAGGCTAGTCGCCTGATTTAGGATTTCTGCGCAAGTTCCAGGCGAACGAATTCGGTCGATTAGCCCCGCCTGACCTACGGCTTCTGGCCCTTGGGGATTTCTGCGCATGTTCCGTGTTCTGACCAGTGGGGATTTCTGCGCATGCTCCTTTAAAATTCGCGTGACCAATCGCGCAAGATTCAGTCACTCACTCGGTCACTCCTTGTCCTCCAGTGTGAAAAAACAGTGAAAATGTGACTTCTTCTTAAGCTCAGTCTTTGCTATGAACTGTTTTCACTGTTATTAAAATCGGAGATACCACAAGAAAGCACTGAGGTCGCGGCATGATCTGTAAAAATGTCAATATCCTGTAGATTTAGTTGTGCAATTATTTTGAAAAAATGCCCTAATTTAAAGTTATGTTGCAGGTGGTATTGGAGGTGGAAAATCATTTTTCATTTGAAAAGCCCCCATGATGTTGGCTAATGACTAATGAAAAGCCCCATGAAATTATTGTCTAATGAATCAATCAGCTTTTTGAAAATGTTCATTACATTGGTTTTATCTATGTATAATAAAAATGTTTTTTAACATATTAATCTTTGGTGCGGGATTTTTTTTCTTTCAAGTAAAATTGGATCAAGCCCATTGTGTGTGCAACATCAGAGGGAAGGCCTACTTGAGAAAAGAATGAAGAAATAGTCTGGATACACTTTATATATATATATATATACAATCAAACCTCGATATACCACCACCCTTGGGACGAGCATGAAGTCTGCCATCCTTAAATGTACTATTCAGGTCTCTCTCTCTCTCCCTCTGTCACTGTCTCTCTCTCTCTCTGTCACGGTCTCTCTCTGTCACGGTCTCTCTCTCTCTCTCTCTCTCTCTCTCTCTCTCTCTCTCGTGGGAGAAAGATGGTCAAGTTAGGTAAGGTGTTGTGCATCGTGTGCAGTGCGTACTTCTGGCAGTCAGTTTGTTGTCGGTATGGCGTGGCAAATTTACTTTAGGACCATACAACTCGGACAGTTGGCGGTGTGAAGGCGTGAACACTTGTAAGCCTACTATGTTTTATATTTATATATTGTTTAAGCAATTCTTCTCGTACAATACGGATGAAGAATCCACATTCAACGAAGTTGATTCCCCCCACCCACACAACAAAGTGAAAATAACGCCCACTGTTTGTTTTAAAAAAATAAAATAAATGAACTTATATAAACGGCCTCCTACATTCAGTAGGGGTGAACTTGAACTATGAAATTGATGCCAAACTTTTTGATACACATTCCTTGGGCGAAGTGGACCATGCCGTACATTAGAGTATGTTATAACTACACCGGTTTGAAGATTGAAACCAAGCTCATTATTCTATTCTCTATTCTTCTTTACGTGTCAAAAGAAAAGAAAAAAATATACATTAATTAATAGATTCAGTCAGACCAGACCAGACCAGACCAGACCATCAATGATTTATTTATAGAGGCACCAGCCATCCATGTCCAGGTGCTGTTTTAGCCTCTTTTTCCTGTATTCGGATTAATAATATCTTTTTGCCAATTTATTGGTTCCGCTTCTATGTACCCCATATCTATGGTTCTCAACCTGGAAATCGCCTATAATTCGCTGTAATTGTCTCACCCCCCCTCCTCAAAGTGTCATCATTTATGTTACCGTCTATTTTTATCGATTCAGTCAGACATGTAGGCTACAGGTAGCACAGATTTTTAACTGCAGATTATGAGATCAATACACAGAAAAGGACTTTACATTATTGATTCTAGGTCTATACATGTACATCACATTTCAAGTAGATTCTACTGCTGTGATGGAAAATGGCGATGTGAAGAGTTTAAAAAAAATTAATAATGTGAAAAAAACAATGCTGTACACTACACAAGTTTGGTTATTTTGGCTATTATGTGTGGCGTAAATAAGGTTTGGTGGGGGTTCGCATAAGTTATATTACAGGCCATGTCATACATGTGGCCTTTTCTTTATAGTGTATTATAAAAAATAAAAAAAACCTCCCCCCATCTACCTGACTTTTCTCCCAGTTTATCAGTGGCATTCACTGGATCTATTGACACCAAATATGATTGGATTTAGATTCTCTTTCTCCCTGAATACATCTACAAAGAGAACAGTACCAAAGAAAGACGAACTTTTAGGAAAGGCTCATAGATCTATAGATCTAATAGTCTTGTCAGATTGTTACTGGTTACATTTCCAACAGGAAAGTTTGACTCTGACTGCAATTATCTGACCAAATTGACATTATTATAATACATGTCATGTATGAAGATGGGACTGGCCATAATGTGTACAATACAATAATGACTGTATTATTGCACCGGGTCAGCTTGTGAACCGATGCAGAGAGAAAACGACAGGAATCAAAAATTCTAATAATGACAAAAACACCTCCCACCTCTCTCTCTCTCTCTTTCTCGTTCTCTCCCCCCCCCCCCCCCCCCCTCCTCCTCTCTCTCTTTCTCTTTGTCCAAAGACAAAATTTGTCGATTTCAACTAAGCGCTGGAACTTTTGTTTACACTCGTATCACGGGCCGTCACGCGCTAAGAAGACGAGGTAGTTCTAGAGCCCAAGGCTTGTTCGGACACGAGATAGGGCAATTGAAACATCTTGGTAGTGGTTAGACAATTTTAAATAACATCACGGTGCTGCATTTCTATTGTTAGAAACTTTGTCACCTCCATTCCGATGAATGATAATAATTAAATAATTATGAAAGGGTGATCTAAAACAATGTAGTCAACTCGCTAGGAAAATCTCGGAAGATGACAAAAATAGAGGGCAAAAAAACATCATCTATGATCTATTTTGGGCCAATCACAGAGGCGTCCTAGGTGCTCTCAATAGCTTCATGTCACTCGGAAGGCCGTGAGGCCGTGTTTACGCTACCTAACACGGGGTGTCCACTACGGATGGGATCGCCCGACTCAGTCGCATAAAAAACAAACTTGTTTGTTTTCAGTTTCAGGCGATCGAGTCGGGCGATCGGCTCAATCCAGCCGTAGTGGGCACCCCGTATAAGACAAAGACTAGATTTAAGTGCCCGTTTTTTTTTTTTTTGGGGGGGGGGGGCTGGGGGGGCAGAAAATGCTAGCCACCCGAGGTCGCAGAAATCCCCACGAGCCAGTAGCGTCAGGCTACTCGACCGAATTCGGTACTGGAGTCTCAAAAAGCACCCCCCACCCCCCAACAAAATAACAAAAACAAAACCTGAACAATACCCAACAAAAACGCTCTATACCTGGCTCAGTACAGTATCCAAAAGTGAAGAAAGGTTTGTATTTTCTCTGTCTTTGTCTCCCAGGTTTGAAGCACGGACATGTTCCATCACATCAGCAGTTAAAGGTTTGTTCAAGTCAAGACCCAAATGTTTTTTCACCATCTCTTTGCTGACTTTGCCCAACACTAACTCATTGAAGAGTTGAGCATACACGCTGACCTGTAGGGGGGTGGGGGGGTGGAAAGAACAGGGGAACAACATTTAATTTGTTTTGTGTATTATCTGACACATCTCTGCAAAGATAGAATGAACACATGAAGTTTTATAACATTTAATTTATGATCAGAAAAACACAAAAGCAACTTTTTCAACAGACCACAGTAAATATAATATATAACGTTCTTATTTCCAACAAAACCACTGAATAAATGGTGTCTGTTCCAGTTAAATATCTGCTGTATTTTTGTGCGGATCCAGAGAGTTACACTATTAGTTAAGATCCATTAACCCATGTCACCATTATCAATGTGGTGAAGTTAGTATTATAATAATTAACCATGGAAAACCTAAGACTCATTAGGAGCATACCATAACTTACATATGTGCCTTAACTTGGGTACATAGGTACAATGTGTATCACTGAAACAATGTTATTTAGATAGTCATAATGCAAATCTAAACGAGCTTTTGTATTTCATCGATAGCACCCAGAAGGGTGTTGCACAGCATCAGTAACTTTAATAAGCCACAACACATTGAGAACATGGCTTCAAATCCCCTGGCTTCAGTATCAGAGAAGTAATGTTGTTTTGTTTAGTTTTAATCAGTTTTACAGTGCTTGCAACTGCATAAGGTCATATGAGCACCAAGAGGTGGACATCAACAGAGAAGTCCGAATGGGATCAGGCTTCGTCTGCTCACCTCTCTAGTCTCAACAGCACAAAGTCTGCTTTAACCTTCAAGGCACCACCAAAATGGCAGTTCACAAGAGAGTGACAAACATACAAAAGAAGTCGAGGAAAAATGAAGATAGTAAGGATGAGGAAAGAAAAAGCAGCAGTTCCCCCTACGTTGTTCCGGCAATGTATGAGCATTGTCACAAAGTAGCTGTTCAAACCATTGTTTGAACCACTAGTTTGTAACCTAGACAAATGTATTATGACCACAAGTCTTACAAGTACAACAAGGTACAAACTAAACGAATAGAATGTACAGTTTTAATTAAAAACGAAGATTTTTATTGGGACTCGTGGGGTGGGGGTTCCAACTAATAGAAAAAAGAAAGGTTATGCAAGGAAGAATAGGACTGAGTATTGGCGTTAACTTTCAGCAATTACATAACCGGACAAGAAATAAATACAGACACTCTCGCCTACAGATTATATAGCGTGCGTATATCTAAGACGGTGATCCCCTGTGGAGAGAAGCACGAACAAGAACAATATTTCGAATACTACCAATATTAAATCAAGGGGCTACAGTAACTAAAACACGTTGTAGGTCTAATAACTGGTAGGGTACTCTTACCATAAAGTAATAAAGACTGACACTGCTTTCAGTAAACAAAATCGAAATTGACATGCACTCTGTAATGTTTCTGGGCTGTGGCACACACACACAGTATGTTTCAACAGTGGAATGGCGTAGTAGACCTTCTTTAATGATAGTTCAGGTCAGGATTTATTGTATTATTCATTACTCTGGAGGTCACTGGGTTTAACACACTGGGTTTTCAGTTTAAAGTATACACTGGGTTTACAGTTCAAAGTACATACTGGGATAACAGTTCAAAGTACACTGGTCTGTGGTCTTCACAGGAGGAAAACGAAACAGGTGCAGAGTAGGCACAGGCTGGAGTAAGACAACGCTCAGCTTAAACCACAGGTCCTAAGCTAAGGACGGGAATAAAAAGGAAAACGAGTACACCTTTCAGGATCCACTGCACAGGTGCTTCAATAAGCACAAAATAATTTCACAAACGGTAATACTGGTGCGGAGACGCGCACAATCATACATAACACAAATAAATGAAACTGGTGCCGAGTAGGCACAGACTGGAGAAAGACATTGCTCAGCTTAACACGGGTCCTAAACTAAGGACGGGAATAACAGGAACATGTGTGGATCAAAACAAAACTGGCAAGGTTTTAAGGCTCTTAGTCCATCCCCTCTCCAAGACGAAGATTCTCACTATGCCAGGAGTCACAGTTTCCCACGTTAGCGTGGAAACGAAAGTTCCATGGCGTAAGATGATGATCCCCCAGTAGGGATGCCATCGCCAGTGGTCACGCCTTACTGTCCGTTCCGTCCCCCAAAAGCAATAAGCACATCGGTGCCACAACGTCATGAGTATCACAAGTGTACCATTTTGCTATTATAAGCATGATATTGATAAATCAGCCAATTTACAATTATGTTGTGTAGAATGAAGAACATGTTATTCCCTTTGGGAATGGTCTAAAGATTTTTCAGTCAGTAGCACTCCCCTGGTGGAAAAAAGTAATGTTATTAAGTTTGTTTGCTTTGTTTGAGTAAAAAGAAACATCAACATACGATAACGGTCATTTCCTGAAGGGAAAAAACAAAAAACACAGATGGAAACAATGGGGGGAAAGAACAGAAGTAGGTTCTACCAGTGGCTCCCTCTAAACACCTGCCGATTGACAAAGAAAACTATTATCCACATTATACACTCCAAAAAAGTAGACACTCTAAAAAAGAAGAGCAATACAAGTATAGAGTGACAGACAAAATGGCAATTGTAAAGAAACAGTCAAAAAAGTAAAACTCAGTGGGACCCTATTAGAAATCCTATACTAATAGTTAATTTCCTTCTACACAAATCTCCACATTTTTTCATTCAAATTATTTCCTTTCTTTCTTTGTTAGCATTTTATAATAAAGTATAGTTTTCCAACATTCAATATATAACTTTTTAGATTATTGTGTACATTTGTCTGGTCATAAAAGATTCTATGTGGGTGGTTTGCGGGTGCCACTGGTAGATCCTATCTATTCATTATCCCCTTTTCATTTCTGTCTGATTGTCTTGCTTTTTCCAAGCACTAAATGACTGTAATGGTGTCAGCGTGCTTCTCTTTACTCAAATACACAACTCTTTAGAAGATAACAACAGAAGGTTAAACAGCAATATCTCACAGATTACCTGGTACTGGTCTTTCCGTTGCTGACTCTGCTTTGGAGGGTACTGTGAGTTTCTGGTTTTCAACTCTAGAATATCTACTTTGTGGTGCTCAGGATCATATCGGAGCTCATCAATTATGCCAAAAACAAATATGCCGAGATCAAATGGGGCTCCAAACACTGGCACTTCTCTCGCGATGTGTCCACCTGTGTGAAATGTGACCACAGCTGCTTGGAGATTCAGCAACTTCACAGCCCATTTGTCTTCCTTTGTGACCACTTTAACTTCCACGGGTACATGAACCTCAAGCTCTGTGGGTCACAAAAAAGAAAACAGTGCAATAAGCACAGAGTAACAACATTTAAATGGCAAAAGCAGCATCTTCTCAGATTTACCCTTTGAACACCTTCATATATAAAAACAAAAATTGGAAAAGCTTTCCTGTTCCTGAAACTTCAATCCCATCTAATACTCTTCTACTAAATAAATTTACAGCTACAAGTACAAGCTATTGGTTCAAAAGTCAAACGATGGTATTAGAACCGAGTTTTAAAAAAGAGCACAAAATCACTTTTCATTAAAAAGTTCATATAAACTCTTTATTTTGTAATAAGTTTTGAATTTGTTCTAGATTCTAGTTGTCTGATAATCTGAAAAGGATGTATCACAACTGAGTAATTTTGAAACCACGAAAAGTTCAGACAAAGGAAATATGAAAGAGCTAGAATCAAATGTGAAAGTCAATCAACATGACAAAACAATCACAGTACCTCTTGTTAAATGAATATCAGAGCCTTTTGATTTTATTTCTTTGACTTCTTTACTTTCTTCTATATTGACGACTTCACCAGGCAAAGCTCGCATTAGGTAGACATCCGGATCAAGGCTATACAGCAACTGCTGCTCACACCTGATAAAATGGAGAAAAAATTAAACAGAAAGTGCTTCTAAATTGTGTGAAGAAGGGATCAATTTAAGTGGTATTTTGGGAATATGCTTTAAATCATTTTTCAACTATTATAATACTGTGTTAAGTTGGCAGAACTTTTCAGATAATTTTTTCAAAAGAGAATGAAATAAGCACACCCCACTGTTTACAGATACTGTCATACCCTTTTATAAATGCTGTAACTCCAGAAACTATAAATCTCCAACAAAATAATTCAAGATCCCAAACACAATAGTTCATCACCTCATTTAGGATGTTATAATTTATTTCATATACATTATGATTTCAAAGACATTTTTGCAGTGGTATGGATTGGTATTTATTCTTTCTCGAGATAATGACCAAAATTTTTAATTATTTACAGATTTTTCAAACATTTTCTGTATCAGTTTCATGCCTACTTTACTTTGATGCTTTGAACTAAAAAGGTATCCAAAACATTTCTTAGATTGGATTCTAAATAAACAGAAAGTAAGGTCGACCTGAGCACAACACAAACTGAGTGAAGGACACACCTGGTAATTACATTATAATAGACTCTTATGATCATACAACTTTAATAATATTTTGATCTATCCTTACCAGTGTTGTCTTCCAAGATCTGAGACAATTAAATATTTATGTCTGCGTTGTTGTAATGGTCCCCCTTTATTTTTCAGGACACGGTCACATTCAAGGTCGAATTGTCTGCGTTCTCTGTCCGAATCCTGATCATCATCAAAAACTGTAAAGAAATTGAAAAAGAGCAAAAAAACTAACAGTTCTTGAATGAACTGATTTCTTTATCTTACACACAATCTTTTTATATAAAACAATTCATACTTTCATAATTTTCATATTATCGAGACAAGACTGTATTTTGAAATGAGGTGAAGTAGATTAGGCAACAAGAATCCGTGAAGTCTAGCGTCGTTGAAAAACCCTGCAGTATGCAATGCTTGGAACTTGGAAAAATATTGTATCCAACATTATGGTGATACAGAGGAGTTCACTTATAACGAGTCCTGAAATAACGAGAAGTCTGTTATAAAGACACTATTCTAAAACCCTGTTTTTTCCTCTTCTTTATCTTTGTAAATAAAATACTGCTATAGCACAATCAGACAAACACGGGAGTCGGTTATAGCGGAATATTGCTGCTGCTGTGCGCAGCGCAAAGTCCAATTATACATGATAATGTAAAACCTCACAAGTTGAGAAAATTGTTTGTGAATATGCGAAACAAAGAATGGGAGAGCCAATGTGTGCCAACAATGAAGGCTGGAGCGAATGAGTGGGGAGGGTGTGGCATGCGCAGACAAGCAGAACGCATCGCATGATAGGCCAGCCTAGTCTAGATTATCTAGGTCTACCATGCTTCTCACTTCTCCGATGTGGGGATGAAGAGGTCACAGTGATTTGATGGACGGAGCGAATGTGTGACGTGCGTAAGCAGACGGAATGCACCACAGGGTGTGGTGAGGTGGGAACAACACAGGGGGCGAGTTAGCCAAGAGCCCTTTCTTTCTGATTGCCAACGCCGAGCTGTCAACATCGCTAGCGCTAGAGAATGAAACCTGTTCCGATTTTTGATCAAGTATGACTTAGAATTCATGTTGAAACAAAATCATCATCAGGGGAGATAACATAAAGAAATAAACGAAACACCAAACTCATAGACAAGGCCTACTTTATTATTTCCATTGAATTTATTACTGGATCCCTTATAGCGAGAATCCTACTATAACAGACATTTCGCACCAGTCCCCTACCTCTCGTTATAACAGGATTCCACTGTATTAACTAAATGAAAAATTACAGTGGGCCCCAGCTATAACAGAAAAGCCAGGACCAATGGGGTATCCATGTTATAGTTATAGCCAAATCCTGTTTTAAACAGAAATGAAGTTTACATACACTGTTCCTAATGATAAACACACTTGAGCCTATTCACGTGTATTTACAGGACGCCCCACTGGTCTAATCCCATGTATTTAAGGGACGCACTTTATCGATCAATATCTCCAGTGTTTTTCGGTTACAAGCTACGGGAAGCGGCCAGCCAATAATTGCCCCACTTGATTCGTTTCATTACAAATTTGGTGAAGTTATGTGTTATACTTTTTAAATTGTAACGGACTAAGTCAGTCACCTCTGCATTGTGGTAGATTATTTTATTATAAATTGGGCACACAAAAAATTGTGCAATCCCCAGTCATTGCTATTTCAAAAAATTTAGATTAAAAAACCCATTTGGACAAATTAGATGCAGTTTGTTTTTCTCTTCTCGCATTAAAAAAATTATGATAGCATTCAGTCTGTTTGTGGTTAACACTTCAATATAATAATAATAATAGATAGCATTTTTACAGCGCATATCCCCGCTCAGCAGCACGCTCTATGCGCTTTACACTATATTATTACCCCAGCAGACCATAGAACACTCCGAAACATTCTCAGCTTCCCGGGAAGCATACAGTGCAAGCAGCCGATTAAGCGCTCAAACACTAACAAACTGACAAGATCTTTCGCTGTCTATAGCCGGGTACCCATTCCCACCTGGGTGAAGTGAGGAAAATTCGTGTAAAGTGCCTTTCCCAAGGACACAACGTCGGGTCCCTGACGGGATTCGAACCCATGACCTTACGGTTGCGAGTCCGAGAGCCTAACCACTAGGCCACCGACGCCACCATATACCCTAAAAACCTCAGGCTGCAATGGTTGTTAGGTGAAATAATAGCAAAAATAGCTCTGGCGCAAGCAAGTTAACCCCTTCAAAACACAGGGTCAGTTTTTGCTTCACTGGGCACAGTATTGGATCCCCAGGGACAGAGAGGAGTGCTAGATTTAACGGTTGGTTGCCTCTAATTAGACCAGGTTTGTAAATGCTACTAAATATCTCTGAAACAGAAAGATTTCTTTGCACAGAAATAACATTGCTGTACGTGAATCTGCATTTAGTTAGATTTATGAAGTGCATCTAGAAGTAGTATGTATGTCAATACAAACTATGACGAACAATTTTCTTCATCACAGTTCTCGTGCTTCACAAGGCATGACGAATGCCATACATCACAGCAACTTGCTTCCTTCACCGCATAAGATTAAAATGATGAACGGCATACATCATATAGATCACAAAGAGGACAGTTTTTGTTACACATGATAGATTACTCTTGATCATCAATTATTTTTGTTTTTCTCATCTTCCATTTTCTCTGTCTCATGGAGTATTTTTTTCTTATAATGGAGGCGTTTTTGAATCCCCCATGGACACAATTTAGATCATTTTGCAGGCGGGCTTCCAAATTCAAAATGAACCTTAGCTACTCTAATCTAATAGACCGTCAATTGTAGTTGCACTGTGGATCATTACACAGCCTAACCTACTATTGCCTACATCTTATCAGAGGGGATCAAGGATTGGTGATGGGGTCTCATCTAAATATTGAGAAATGCCTAAGCATCTCAAACAGCTTCTCACAATCCACCCAACGGTACCTACCCCTGGTGGTCCCTGTTCTCACTGACACGGCTCTGACAAATGGCGAGTCGTTTGGTGCCAACAAACCAACCCCCCCCCCCCCCCTCTGTTTCCTAGAGGGATTAAAACAACAGGATGGGAGCAGGTGTGGCCCCATAAGGTGCAAGAGGCAGAACCCACAGATGTGTGGTAGACCCTGCTCCTCACTAACACACCCTTACTCTCCCTTGAGTGGGTGTCTGTCTAATCTGCCTAATGTTCACCTCTACTGCTCTTTCACACCCTCTGAGGCAGAGAAGGAACCAGCCAGTTTGAGAATGTCTGGGTGCAGGGGATGGACCGAGCAGAATGCCTAGCTCGCCTTCAGATCGTGGACCTCTTAGTAAAGGCACACAACGACCCAGGACATGACGATCCAATGGCTTTCCCACTTGGCTGAAACCTCATGCCAGAGTGGAAAACTATAATATAGCCAGTACTGTACGGTGACTGCTACTGTTGTAAACGGGGCGCAGCGGGACCTTCTGTAATAATAATAATAATAATAATAATAATAATAGATAGCATTTGTATAGCGCATATCCCCGCTCAGCAGCAGGCTCTATGCGCTTTACACTATATTATTACCCCAGCAGACCATAGAACACTCCGAAACATTCTCAGCTTCCCGGGAAGCATACAGTGCAAGCAGCCGATTAAGCGCTCAAACACTAACAAACTGACAAGATCTTTCGCTGTCTATAGCCGGGTACCCATTCCCACCTGGGTGAAGTGAGGAAAATTCGTGTAAAGCGCCTTTCCCAAGGACACAACGTCGGGCCCTTGACGGGATTCGAACCCACGACCTTACGGTTGCGAGTCCGAGAGCCTAACCACTAGGCCACCGACGCCACACGTAACAACACGACTGACTACTCTATAAACTATTATAAAATATTTTCCTTCCTTTAACTTTAGATCTAGATCTAGAGTCTAGTCTAGATTTAGATTCTAGATCTAGATTCTAGATCTAGATTTAGATATAAAAATCTAACTGTAATTTTTACACGGTAAACAAGATACTACTGGTCTAGCCTTACTAAACTTAGAATCTTTTGCCACCATATAAGTCTTTCTTTCGATACTGTTCTCTCTTAAATACCTAGATTTGCCATCGCTTCTTCGTCTGCATCACTCCAGGAGTCAAAACTGCAGGAGGCCCCATCTGTAGCCATCATGTCCGAGTTCTGAATTCTAAGAAAGAATAACACAGAGCCTTCAAGCTAGAATCTAGTTTCGTTTTGCTGGCATTGCATTTTTGTCCAGTTTCGTTTTCCCCGCGTTTCGCTCTCCGATCCCTGACCAGAATATTAGAACTTTTCTAGTTTAAATATATTTCTCCAAGTTACCCAAACAGTTTGCTGATTTTTTAAAGTCTAACCAGTGGAAATTACTTTGAATACTATTTTACTCCGTTATAAAATAAAAACAGAGTAAAAAATGCATAAAAATATAAAGTCTGGGCCAGTAGTACTGAACCTTTATAGGCGTAACTGGCAATAATAATTATTCTATTTCTTTTCTAAAAGAGTTCTTCTGTTTATCTTAGTTACAGATTCATACGCCCTTGAGGTTTTGGGGCGGTTTTTCCGTTCTTTTGAAAGATCCTAAAACAATATATTTGTTCACATTATCTTTTTAAATCATCCTGAAACGTTTAAATTATGCATTTATATTGTCACAATATGAAGAAAACGCCAATTGTATTGTTCTTTAGAACGTACGTAATTTCTTGGGCCCAGTTGACGACTCTACGAAGTTTGTGAAGCGGCTGTGCCTTGCGTTGACTGGTTCGGACAGAGGAGGGCCCTCAAGAAACAGGAGTTTTCGGCCTGTGGAAGGGTTGAAGTTTTGGAGAGGGAGCAGATAGTTGATTTTTATCACGTATATTTTAAGTAAATGGTTAGACGTTCAAAAGTATCTCGTCGTTTCTGCTCCCTGCTCCTGAACATTTTGGAAACGCATTGGAAAAGTTGTGAATATTTTGGACTTCAACTTCAGTGGTCGACGAAGTTTGGATCCAAAAGACTGTAGGCTTTGACTTTGAGAGTTTTGCTGTGTGAAAATATTTTCATCGTTGTGGCAAGAAGGACTGTCGGCAATACTTTACTAATGAACTCTGTAATTAAGCAGATCATTTTTGTGCAGCAGAAGAAGAGCTAAGGCAACAATTGAACTATTCTAAAAGCAAATAACCATTGCTGACTTAATCATTGCTGACTTTTGTAAGAATTATACTCTTGGATGTTTGCAGTCACACCTGTTTATTGATAATACAGGTTTCAATAACTGAAATACAAAGATCTACTGTAATCTAGAGCAAAAATTATACGTGAGATATGAAAGGACAGTCAAGCACTAGGAACTTTTCAATACAGGTTGCGAGAGGTTAAAAACTTGTTCTCCAAAAGAAAAACTATAAATTTTTATGGAACCACTTAACTCGGGAAAACTATCATCAAGATCAAATAAATCGGGATCAAACAAAATCATTCCTTCTGGCTCAGTGATGGATCCAAAAGCCAAGAAATCAAAAAAGAAAAAGAAGAACAGAAAGAACTCAGGAAAACCGGAAAGTGATGTACAGGAATCAAGTGCCAAACTCACAAGTGATGAAGAAAGGGGTGCTCTGGAAGTAGAAGGAGTCAAAGCATTAGATGGTGAGTATTTTTTCTTTCTATTTGTGAAAACTGAGCCGTCATTGGGTTACTATTTGCATTATTTTTGCTTTTGCTGGCGGATATGGGGTGTCGATTTTTTTTCATTCGATTTCGTACAATGTCTAGTGCATTCTTTTCCTCATACAGTGAATCTGTCATTGTGTTTTAGACACACCTGAGGTCAAAGTTCTTACTTTAAAAAATTTATTACAATTTTAACTAAACTTTAAACCCTCACACTTTTTGTGAATTTTTACAAATGTCTTTTCTAGTTGCTTTCTGATCACTGTGATTAAGCAGAACAAAAAATAAAATGGAGAAAGCCAAAGTTGTTGGGAATTTGAAAAAGAGCGATATATCTTTGATGGTGATCTCTCCGAGTTGTGTGAAGACTTATTGCCGAATTTGCCATAAAGTGAAGTAGGTCTACCGCATTTTGATGTACCACATTTTGCAAGTTATTGACATTATTTTATAAGCGTTTTTGTTCCTACCAGCTCCTTCTTTTATTTCAAGGATCTATGATATTTTTAAGTCACTGTCTTATCTGCTATTTTTAAAAATCGTTTATTCAGCCAGTCATCTTTAACATAACGTACGGAACCAAAAATGGTTATGTACCTGTCGATTTTACAACAGTGAACTTAATGATTTTATGAAAATTAAAACACCACTATTTTTTAAGAAACAAACCCCCCCCCACCCCCCACACTGTCTGTCTGTCTG